GGGTAGTTTTGCTCTTGACACCGCTCAACACCGTGACTTACAGCGGCCCAGTGGGAGCACCCAGGTGACACCAGCCAGTGAGAGGGAAGTGACAATAATGCTCTGGAGCTAGCATGGCTCTAGCAAGTTTCTACTTGGAGTCTTTCGCATTTAGTTGTGACCTCTGTGTCTGCAGAACTTCTCTGGAGACTTGTTTTCAGAGCCGGCTGGCTGCAGATCCAGCAGGTGAGCTCGTTTCACAGCGTGTTCTGTGTCTGGGGACTCAGGGTACAGACCTCAGGGTGGGATATGTCTGTGCTTGAAGCGCTGCTGGAGGTCCCGGATCTCCCTCGAGGTGTCAGGGTCACCCAGAGCTGTTGTCTGGAGGGAAGGACTGCGTGTGCTGTTGGGGGCCTCGTGAAGCTCACCCTGCCCTGGGGATGCGAGGCAGATTTGGCCCCGTCCCTGCAGCTGTTGTCACTGTGACTCGGTGTCTCCTGCCCGGGCCTGGGTGCGTGCTGCCAGCCTGGCTGCAAGTGCTGCTTCTCAGGTGTCCGTCTGCGGAAACGTCTTAATTGTCGTGTTTGGTGTTTGTGCTGTATGAGTGTGTGTGTGACGGGTTCGGGGACTGTGTGGGGTAGGGCAGCAGAACCGGGCTCTGTGCTTTGCACAGGAGCCCACTCGCATCCTTCTCTTAATTCTGTCAGGCTCTTCCAGGCGTCATCGTGTGGCTTCGCTCCAGGGTTTACCCTTGACGCTGTCGTTTCTGTAGGGCTCAAAGCTTTACAAGGGGTAAGGCTGCCAAGGCAGTACCAGCTGAGGATCCCCTTTGCTGTAAACTTGCACCACATACTGCAGAGCTGTTTCTAGCCTGCAACTATTTTATTAAATTCAGGGGAGGAATTGTGCTCCAGCATCTGGGCAAGACTGCAGGTACCTGGCAAGGGGAATGTCGTTTCTGGGGCTCCAAGGCTTTATTTCCTTCAGGTGTGACGTCCCCAGCTCTTGTTCCTTTCTGAGGAAGTGGGATCTCTGTTCCTGCTCTGTATTTTGGTTCGATGGAAGGGAGGTGATTCTGATGGCAAGACCTCTCTTGCCCTTTGGTTCTTTATGTGTTTGTTGCTGGCCAGACGTTGAGCTCAGGAGGAGCAGAGCCTGGCAGTGTGTGCTCTCTCCGTGTTAGTGTCAGGACACACATCTTGCTGTTCCCAGTGGCAGAACTGGAGCAGAGCTCTTTGGTCTTTGCCTGATCTGTTCTGATGCACATGTACAAGGGAGATGGTCCTTTCAGATTTGCCTGCTCGGAGCAAGAAGGGTGTTGGTTTGCAACAGCTCTCACCTCCCTCTGGGACGTGTGGGAAAGCATCAATTTGCGGTGGCGTGTGAGCCGGCTGAGCTGCTGATGTCTCGTGCTTGCTGGATGAGAAGCAACGAGTGGCTCAGCACGTGTTCCCCGGCAGCTCGGACTCGGGCTGGGCAGTTGCTGTTGTATCGACCCTCTGACCTTGTGTCTCTGTAGGGTGGAGATGCTGCAGCTGTATGAACGGTGCATCCTGATGGATATCGAGTTCTCTGATACCCAGAACGTGGATCAGCTGCTCTGGAAGAACGCGTTTTACCAGGTGATTGAGAAGTTCCGGCAGCTCCTCAAGGACCCTCAGGGGGAAAATGCACAAGAAATTCGGAACAAACTTCTCCAGCTTCTAGATGAGGTGAGAAAAGAAACATCCCCGGACTCCGCTAAACCTTTGCATGGGATTGGCTGGTGTTCAGAGTGGGATGGTGTGACAGGGCAATTAGCCTTCTGGATCCCATTCATATCTCTGTGTGCCTTAGATCAGCCTTGTGCCAGGAGAGTGCTCAGACAGGTTATGGTTTAGCATGGCAAGTGTAGGTCCAGGTAGACATTTGTTATGATTTAAATCTGGCTGGTTTTGGTGTGTTTTATGTTACTTAGAAATTGAGTAGAAATGATCTGTTTGAGAGGCGTCCCTGCCCCTGACAGGGAGGTTGGATTAAATGATCTCTAAGGTCCCTTCCAGCCTAGGCCAGTCTATGATTCCATGATTTAAGCTAAAATGAAGTTAATGCCCTGAAGTGGAAAGAAACCAAAGCGTTCCTGCGGGTGCTTGTGCCACCGTCTTTATCAATTTTCTTAAAAGTCATTCTGTTAAGCTGTGCAGCTCAGTTTACTCTTTGTAAAAGGTAGGCTGACAGATTCAAGAGGATATGTTTTAAAGAATTACGTTGGTGGGAAGGAACTGCTGGAGGGCTTTAGTCCAGCCTCCTGCTCAAAGCAGGACTCCTCAAACGCTAAATCAGGTCAGTTGATTTTGTCCCGCTCAGTCTTGAGAACCTCTGAGGCTGGAGATTCTCCAACCTTCCTGTTTTCTGAAGAGAAACAGCCCAAACCCCAGGAAGAGGGACCTTCTTCTTTGCAGGTGGCAGGGATGGTGAGGTGATTTTGTGCTTGTCGTCAGAGAGATTGTAACATGTAGGTATGTGGTTGTTTTGCAGGGCACTTCTTTTTTTGATGGCCTACTCCAAAAGCTGCAGGTGTCGTACCAGTTCAAGCTAGAGGACTACATGGACGGGATGGCCATCCGCAGTAAACCTCTGAGGAAAATGGTAGGTTGGCTTCCTCCTGGAGACTTCGCGTCCTGTTAATCGTGTGCGACGTGCTGAACGCGTGTGCTGCCCTTGCCGAGAGGTAGGCAGATGTCAGTATGTTTGTGGGGAATCTTTCTCAGCTGTTAGAGAGCTCGTTGAACCAGCTCTGGTGCATTAACATCTCTTAGCTTCCTCTGCAAAGATCTTTTTTTACACCAGCTCTGTGACCAGGACTAGTGAAAGAAGTATCTAAAGGTACCCTGGCTTTGCCTTAGATACTGAACATCTCTTATTTCTGTCCGTGGAATCCAGAATAGGGCACAGGGAAAGTGAACAGTTGCGCTGCCTCCCTGGCACTTGACAGTGCGTTGTCTTGTGCTGTGAGTGCAGGTGCAAGGGACAGCTGGGAAAGGGAATTTTAATCCGGCTCTGTTCCCAGAGAGACACGTCTGTCTAACAGCTGTCCTTAGGTTGGTCACGGACTGAACAACTCTTCTGGAGAGAGCTGGGATGCTGTTGTAAGAGAGGAGGTGTTCAGGGAATGGACTTGCCCCTACAAATACTGAACCGGTGCCGTGGAGCCTTGTCATTTCATTCCGCTGCCCTTTTGTGAGACCTTCAGCGTGTCGGTGACCTCCTCCGAGCTCTCTGCACTCCCCGTGTGCTCGCGGGGGCTGCAGGCGAGCCAGGGCTGCGCAGGTCCCGCCTGACGTCCTGCATGCTTCCTTCCAGGTGAAGTACGCGCTGATCAGTGCTCAGAGATCTATGATCTGTCAAGGGGACATTTGCCGATACAGAGAACAAGCGAATGACACCGCCAACTACGGAAAGGCACGCAGGTATCGTGTTCTTCACTGCAGCTCTTCCTCCAGCTACAGGGGACGTATCTCCTTTCGTGCTGAAGCGTTGCCTCTAGACTAAGAAATCTTTCCGCTCCTCTTTATTGTATTGCCCTCTCGTGAAGCTGGAAGATGTAGTCTAGACTGTTCTGCTGTCCCAGAGAGCGAGCGAGCAGATCCAGTCATCCTCCAGCCCCCTAGTGTGGAAGTTGTTCTGTGCTGATCCTGCAGCAGGGAAGCTTCATGCTGTTGGGGCAGAACAGCTCTTGTATTTTCTGGTAGCTTTTCAGCCAGGAGAGGTTCCTGGATGTGTCCATATGTTCTGACTGCATCAGAAGTTACTGATGCCGGTTGCTTCCTGTCACTCTTGTTTTTCTGATGTTTTTTCTGGAGCAAAGACTGGTGGGTGGGCAAGTGAACCCAGCGTGAGGAATGGAGCCCTGAAATCTGTGGGGATTTGGGGAACAGGGTAGGGAAAACTGCTGATTTTGGTGTCTGTGGACGTTATTTGAGTATGCTGGGGGGACCGTAGCAGGTTCTTGATGTGTGTGAGCAGTGTTGATGGTCTGTGTGGCACGATGAAAGCTGGAGAGTGGATAACACAGTTGAGAGGAAACAGAACAGAGAGATGAAGGGACTGTCACTGGATGGACGCCTCTTCTCTCAAAATGATTTAAGTATCTCGAAAATACGGGGAGCGAACTAAGGAACGTGCATCTAAAAAACGGGGGTTGAGAGAGAAGCATTCCCTGCTTATCCTGTTCTCCGTGCATGAGGCTACACAGGGGGCAGCGTTTGCTGGGTCTGGCTAAATGCGCATCTTCGGGCTGAGCCAAGAACATTTCTTGTGCAGCTGTATCTGCTCCTCTCGTGTCCTGTGCCCGGCTCGCTGCCTGTGCGCGCTCTTGCAGGCAGAGGGCACTTGTGCAAAGGGCCCGTTCCCTGCCAGCACTGCGAGGGGAATTCCTCATCTTTAACAGCAAGGAAGGCAACCTGATGTCCTTTGAATAAACTTTTCGCTCTGTTTCCCTCCCCCCCATCCTCTCAGCTGGTACCTGAAGGCTCAGCAAATTGCTCCCAAAAACGGCCGCCCGTACAACCAGCTGGCGCTTCTGGCCATCTACACGGTAAGATGCTCCTCATGCAAGGCTGTAGCGAGCATAGGGAGAGCCTCTGGGATGGCTGTGAGATTCCATCTGGTGTAGAAAGGCATTGTTTAGGGCAGTGCTCCCAGATGTGTGGTGTTTTCGGGTTTTTTTAAAAAGAAAAAAGCTGGTGGCAGGATGTGCTGTGTGGATTCCAGCTGCTGTGGCTTCAGGCAGCTTTGTTAGATACACGCTACTCCCTCAGGCTATTGGCATTTTGGGGACTGTTCTGTGGGCTGTTGAGGGTGGAAATGTTTTTAAAGTGAGCTCTGTTTAAAGTTTTGCCTGAGATTTTTATGCTCGAGGCCACGCTGTCATGAGCATGCTGTTTCTGTTTGCCACATCCTCCTTGAACCTGTGGGCACTGGTCTAAGCAACATCCACAAACAGCTTTCTTAGGTGTCAGTTTTGCTGGCTATTACAGCCATGCAGGAAAACTTATTTCAAGGAAGATGTACCAGCAGATGAGGGAAGCCTGGACTGGTGGGGATCTGCCCGTTTGCACACTGAAAGGTGCTGGTTTAAAGTAGAGCAGTTCAGAACGACAGGGTTCAGAACCGCATTTCGTTTATGGCTGGGAATGACTTTTCTGACTCCTGGTATGAGGCTCGGAGCAGCGAAGTGTTCCACCCTCTTGTTGGTGTGTGAGGCCAGCAGGACGTGGGCAGACCCCTCCGTGGCTGTGTGACTTGGTAGCAGAGGGACTCGGAGGGGTGGTGCCTTCTCATGGCATTCCCTGTAGCCAGCCTGTGAGGAGGAAAGATGCTGAGAAGCTGCTGAAGCATGAGGGGCTCAGCCCAGGGACTGGCTGAGATGAGGGGAGGGCATCCTGCCCCACCACTGGGGCTACAGGCAGCGATTTTGCTGTCTGTGGTGTCACTGGCACTCCCTAACCCTGGCAAAGGGCCTGTGGTTTGTGCTGGTAAGTAGCTGTGAACATGGATGGAGAGTTCCAAGTCCTACTTGCCATAGTGTTTGTCGGCATGTCTGTCTGTCCCAGGCAGGACTGAGGGAGAGGGCACAGGTATTGAGAGGCAGGGAAGGTGAAATATGTGAGAGCTTGGCTCTGAATGCCCCGCAGTGAGGGGCAGCTCTGAGTCTGGTGGTGTTTTTGCAGAGGAGAAAGCTGGACGCTGTCTACTACTACATGCGCAGCCTGGCTGCGAGCAACCCCATCCTCACAGCCAAGGAAAGCCTCATGAGTCTGTTTGAAGAGACAAAACGCAAGGTGAGTCTTGCAGCTGGGCTGTGGGATGCTGCAGCTGCCCATGCTGACTGTCCTGTGCTGGAAAGCTGCAATCCAGACAGGAGGGTGACGGTGGCTTTTGGGCTTGGAGTTGCCGCTTACTGTAAGAAATTCCGTGTTGGGAGATGAGCAAGGCAGCCGTGATGGTGGCTTTTCTGCCTCTCCTCAGACTGCTTTTGGGGTTGTTTGTGGTTGCTGTGGTTTGCAGCGTGGCCTTGGCGCGTGGCGTGATCGTTGCCTTATGCCATAGTTGCCCCACACTGATGGGATAGGCGAGGGAGCCTGCAGTCCCTTTGTGCCCCACAGGGTCACCCCACTGTCACGCATTCCTAGGACAGCACAGCTTTTCCTGTCATGTGGCAGTTGGAGTTGAAAACTTCTCACCTGCACTGTCCTGTCATGTCAGAAACTAAATTCTGGACCTGTCAAGTGAGTTGCTGTGACTGAAGCAGAAGGAAGGGCTAATTTCTCCATGTGAATGGAATTATATACTTTTCCTGAACTTTGATCCCTGGGTGATCTGACTGTCCTGTCTGCCCAGGCCGAGCAGATGGAGCAGAGGAAACATCAGGTGCTGGATCTGAGCCCCAGCCGCCGGGGGAAGGGCAAGAAGTCCACGTTGCGACAAGTTGGAGATGATGCCACACGGCTGGAGATCTGGATCCATCCCTCCCACCCCCGCTCCTCCCAGGGCCACGAGTCCGGCAGGGATTCGGAGCAGGACAACAGTCTTGGGAACCTCAGCCCCAGCGACGTGAGTACTGCAGGAGGCAGCAGTTGCCTTTGGTGTCATGTGTTTGGAATGCAGTGGAATGACACTGGATCTGTTTTGCTTTCCTGTTGCTAAATTTTCCAGTGTTTTGGCTTCCCCTATGGGAGCTGTGCCTGGGTCAGGCTGAGGAGCTGGTGACCTCGTGCCTCTCATGTTTAAGGCATGTTGTTACCATCCGTTTCTTGGCAGTGCGTGCTGGCCTGGCTGATGCGGAATAGGCGGAGAGGCGCAAACAGAATACGGAGAGGCTCAAGCAGAAGATGCTGTAAAATGCCTCTGCCAAGGGCTCTGACTTGGGTGAGGTTGCCGGTGGGAAATGAGGTCAGATGCTGAAGTCCAGGGTTAACGGTGACCCTGTAAGTTCTGAGGCTTGTTCTGGGAGCGGGTCACTGGTCCCAGTGCCAGGTGATTGGAGGTTTGCGCTGAGAATGCAAACCCAGTGGTTTTAATTTCCAGTGTAGGTGTTACATTTGCATTACTTGTTCTGCTGAGACACCAGGCTGGTGCCTTTCTTTCGCAAGGATAAAAATATAACTGACCAACGGTATCTTTTGCTGGTCTGTTCGAGCTGCGTACCTTGCGAGGGGAGCCCGAGTGAGCCCTCTTTGTCAGTCCCAGGCATGCAGGCGAAGGCAGCGGTGGTTGGGAGCTCATCCTCTAGGAATCCTCGCGCTGCTTTGGCACATGCGGCTTGTGAGAGAACTTGCCAGGGAGCTCTGGGCTGCCTGTCCTAAAATGGCTGTTAAGGATGTGAGTTGAGCAGAACTGGGAAGAGCTTCTCCGCGTGCTGTGGGGCCCAGAGCTGCTCGGATCCGATGGCGCGTTTATGACTAGTTGGTGACTTCAGCCGGGGTGGAACTGGGGTGCAGCCTCGGAGCTGTGGAAGATAAGCTCTGGCACACAGCTGCAGCGTTTTTAAGACGTTACTGCCCTGGGTTGTTTTCCCTCTCCTCGACTTCTCTTCTGGAAACCTTTGCTTCCTCAGCATCGTTGAAAGGAACGTGCCAAGCTTTAGTCTCGCCATAAATCTCTGATGAAGATGCTTTGACATAAGATGCTGTGAGTGTTTCTGAGGCACTTAGGGATTTCTCTTTTGCAGCGCTCCCACGTGAGGCAGTGCAAACAGCCAGCAGGGCGGGAGGCAGCCGTGTCTCGTTGTTTGTAGTGTGGCGCTCTTGTCTAGAGCTTGCCCTTGGTCCGTTCGAGGGGCGCTGTGCTCTCTGAAGCGCAGGTTGCTGGCAGTGCCTGTGCACGTTGTGTGCCCGGTTATTACCGTTAGTTTTTCTCCATCCGTTTGAAGTGTTGGCTTGTGGAAAGCTTGTGGAGGGGCTCCACAACCCAACAGAACAGCGAAAGGGTGAGGAGAGCTGACGGGGCTGTGCTGTGGCCGTGTCACTGAACTGATTTGCGTTGAAAATAACGAGGTGAAAAGGAGACTGTGTCAGTCCCAGAGCTCCCGAGCAGTGAAGCTGTGGGCTGGATAGAAAGGCTACAGCTCTCCGGGGACCTCTGGACTCCTCGCTCCCTGCAGCTCTAGGCTCCCCCTCTTGCTCCCAGCACCTCTCGGCGTTTTGCAGCTCGGGCTCTGGGCAGGGCTCTGGCCACGGTGTGGCACTGTTCGGCCTCGCAAGGGCCCTGCGGCAGCGCCCCCCTCCTTGGCAGCACCTCTGCCCCACATCCCCGGGCCGGGCGGAAGGGAACAGCTCTTCTCCCCAGGGATGTGTGCCAGTGCTTACGTGTCACTTAGGGGAAGTGAGTCTAAATGTGTCATCGCCTCCTTGGGCCCTTCCTTGCCAGCTTCAGCCCTTGAAAAGGCTGAGGCAAGCTGTGTTCTGTTGTTTGTGCTGACAGCTGTGCTCGGCAGGTAGCTCCTCAGGCATCAGTCTTTAAGGCAGCTGTTTCTGGGCCAGAGAAGGGAATTTTATAGGGTAGAATGAGAAAGTGTTCAGTTTCCAGAAGCAGAGATACCACCGCAGATAGAGACCCTACCAGCTCTGGACGTGTGCTGGGCAGACGCGTGGGAGAGAGGCTCACTCACCCTTCAGACAGAGGCCGTTCCTTCAAACCCAGCCCGAGCCGAAGGAGACGGGTGGTTTTACTGTGGAGATGCTGGCTGTTTCGCAGGTGACGAGAAATCACTTTGGGGTGTTTTCTGTTCTCAGCGGCTTCTTTCTTCACTGTGGAGGCGGTTTGGTGCCAGTCCCGTGACGCGGCACACTTGGCAGGGAGATGCCGAGCCCTTCCTCTCCCAGGACCCGCTGAAGTGCGCACTGTCCCCGTCAGCGAGCAGAGAGTCTGCTCAGCACGTGCTCGTGTATCTCATCTCAGCGCTGACTTTGTTTTTCCATGTGCAGCCCTATACAAAGACAACAACATCATTACTTTCGTTCAGGGTTAGAGCCAACTGAATGGAGTTAGTCAAGTCTGCGGAAGGCCGGCTCGCGCTGCAGCTGCTGCTGTGACAGGGGAAGGTGGCGTGCAGAGCTGGCACTTGACCTCGGCACTTCGCGTTTGGGTGGGTGCTCGACATAACCAATTCCATCACAGTTTGATACATCACCTTTTCTAGAAAGATGCAGAACTGGAAGAACGTACCCTCCCTCCACACCGAGGGGCATGGATCTCCATTTGGCCCCTTCTTCAGGAACTGGATTTGGCACTGCTGGCAGGAAGGGATGGTTTCAGAGCGAGCTGAGGGGATGCTTGGGTTGCAGCCTGGCTGTTTTGTGCTTAGGGTGTTGTTCTGTTATACCTGCAGCCTTCTGGGGTTTCGTTCTGTGAGTGGCTGTTCTCTGTGATCTCTTGTACGTTCTGTGTTTGTAGGTGTGCAGTGGCAGGAGTGTCCAGGCTGACCCAGTGCCCTGCTTACCTGATGGTATCGGGCCACTTCGTGTGGGATTCCCATAAGAAATGCAAAAAGGGAGGCTGAACCACTGAGCAGTTGTGTTGCTTTCTTAAAAACAGCTGGATAGGGTGAAGAGAGCTGAAGAGCTGAATCTCTGCCTCTGGTTTTGTTTGCCTTGGGTCTGTATCGATCTTAAATCTGATAGTACCGCACGCAGCTTACCTTGCAGGCTGTGAATTGGTAAAGTAAATAGGGCAAACGTGCTGTCAGTCTCTTGAGAAAGTGTTAATATTACACTGAGTTTGAGATTTTAATCGCTTCTGTCAGGAAATGCTGAGTTAAGGTTCCCACAGTTGCTATTGCTGCTGCCTCTGCTCTGCAGTAGATGTTTCCTTGTGTCACCACGCAGCATGTGTGCACTAATGAAGTTTACTCCATAGCTGCAGCTAAGACTAGGGAAGAGAGGCTTTCCCTGGCAAGACAGTAATTGAATAATACTTCTCTCCAGATGTCTGAATGCTTTAGCATCATTAAAGAATTAAGTCTCATAGCCTCTTTGTGAGAGGTCAGTGTTGTAGGGCCATCAAAAGCTTGGTAGGGCCACCCAAAAAGCTCTCAGGAAAGCTAAGGCTGAGTCAAGGTCTGCTTTCTCAGCCCTGTGCCTCGGCTACAGCGACCTTCCCAGTCCCCCCAGGCTGCTGGTTAGGGACAGAGGTGTTGCATGTGCTGGGTGCCCATGAAACAACAGCCCCTTCTCAGCAGCAGAGAACTGGTGGTGGAATCATTAGGTGTGAAGTTCAGAGTGCTTTACAGAAACATTCTTCTCAGCAGCAGGGAGTGGGGACAGTGCGTCAGGGTTTCCACAAGTGAGAAGTAAATGCCACCAGGAGATCTAAAAAAAAAAAATAAATAAAAAAGAGGTCAAAGTTCTCTTAATAGACTGAGTATAGAGAGTTTCTTACTTACGTGAATCATCTTTGTTACCTACTGTATTTGTCTGGGAAGCTTGTTAAACACAAGGTGTCACTGCTGGTAGTGGGTGTGCGTGCCAGGAGGCAGAGCAGCGGTGTCAGTGCGTGTCTTTGGGTGGTTGTTTGTATTTTCTTTTCGATGAGTAGTGCTGGTCTCTTTTTGGACCCCTTCATGTCCTTCCATCTTGCAAGTCCTAGAAAACCAGACGAGTGCCAGGCACGCAGAGAAACACGTGCAGCTGGGTGAGGGCACCGCCTTCTCAGAGCAACAGAGGCCGCAAGAGGTGTCCTGCTCTTTTCAGGATTCGACTAACTGGGAATTGTCCAGCGATGCCTGTTGGGGGTTATCTTCACAGCTTACTGTGATTTGTTTCTTTCTGAGATGAGCCACCTCTTAACATTTCTCACCTTCTGTCTTAGTTGTTTGTGTCTGCTTAGTTTTATTTCTGACTCTGCCTACCTCACCTGTGCACCGTGATGCTGCCTCCACTGACACTTCTGCAGCCCAGGTGCAGTCCAAGGCTGGAGGCGGTGCTTTTGGGAGCGCCTGGGCCTCCGGGAGCACTGAGGACTCCTCAGGGCTGCCCAAGTCACTACTTCAACACAGACCACGTACCCTTAGTGAAAAGGGTCACGGTCCTGGTCGGCTCCTGCGTGTTTCACATCCGTTTTTCCGTGGCAGTGTTTGGTTCTGCTCTTGGGCAGCAGCGGCTCAGGCGACTGGGCTGGCTCCTTCTCCTGGCTGGTTTCAGTCGGTGCAATTTTTCATCTGAGGAAGCTGTCCCTTGGGCTTTGCATCTGAAAAGGGGTGCTTCTAGGGTGCAGTGGGGTAAAACCTCCTCTTAGTCTGGTAGCAGGTTCTGGTGCTGGTTCTTGGCCCTTTTGCTCCATTAGCCTGTCCTTTGGCTGGACCAGTCACACACGGGAGTGGCAGTGACCTGTGTTCAGAGTTGGGGTTACCCTGATGTCACTACCTGTGGTCCTCAGAAGCATCTGGTTTGTTAAAAGGCTGTTGTGGTGTGAGCTGGGTGCCTGTGAGCACAGCCCAGCTTTGCTCGTGCAAATGTAGCGCAGAGGCTGTTGACTGAGAGCAGCTCCCTTCACTCTCAGCTCTTTTCTCACCTTGTAACTCTACATGACTAGAAATAGGCAGGCAAAAGTGGAAA